CTTAGCCGCAGTTTGCCGACCACTGCCCTGGGCCAAGACTTTTAACCTTAAAGCTTTTGAGATTTGCCTTAGGAGAGTTAAGAACATTGACAGTTGCTCTGGACTTGGCTTAGCTTCTGATTCATTCACACATATAACAAACATTTGAATGACTACCATGTTCAAAGATTATTGAGAACAATGGGGAAGAAAGGTAAAGAGAAATTTGCCATGTGGCATAATTAGGCATTTAATAGGAAGTACACCTACGTAGAATTTGTCTCCTCTATCAATCTGAGCTAGGAAAAAACAATCAGATGTCAACATGTGCTGAATGGTGTGAATCTTCATCAGATGAAATGCTACTTGGTGTGAATCATACAGGTCAGCTTTTAATTGAACTTTAACTGTTTTATGCTCAGTGGTTTTTTAGTCCAAGGGGATTTTAATTTTCTTGATGATTGGAGATTGATTTTTACTTCCACTTTGCTGAGCAGAGTACTGGATGTGTAATAGATACTCAATACATGGTTGTTTGAAAGAAGAAGCCTAACATACTTTTCTAAATTATGAAAGGATTAATGTTGGCTGTGTTAGATTCAAGGTGAGCAAAACTGGTAAGGTGGGGAATTAGGGCTTTACGAAAAGCCTTTATTGAGGCAAGAAGGTAAGTGGTGAACTCCAGCTTGCATTTGTATCATCTTTATATTAGGCAACACTGCAGTGTCAAGAAGAATAGAGCTTGCCAGGGATGTGCAAATGTATGTGAAATTATTTTAATAATACAGCAAATGGTTGCACAGATTGTCTTTTCCCTTTGTTGGTTTTTCCCTACCCGTCCCCCTCTTTGCTGGTTTCCCTTCCTCCTTTGGTCCCATATATCAGAGCTCTCAAGTTTGGTATTAGGCCCTCCTTCTTTTCTCTTTATACATGCTCTTTATACCATGTCATCCACTCTCCTGGTGTCAGCCAACATTTTTGTGCAGATGGTTTTTAGAAGTATATCTTTATTTCTTTCCTTTTCAGAACTTTAGGCTCAAATCTCCAATCACCTGCTGGGCTCTTCCACCATACTCCAAACTCAGTATGTGTAAGGTTGCATAAACATCATCTTCCCTCGAATTTCTTCTTCATTGTCTATCCATCCACTCCAATTTGTTTATAGAAGCTTTTTATGCCCAAGGTTCTGTGCAAGGCATTTGGAATACAATAGTTAGTAAAAATAGGTTCAATTGAGGTTATTGTCATTTTAGTCTAGTAACTTAGGCTTGAAACTAGGATGTCATTTTTGACTTTTCTTTTTCCATCTCCAAATCCATTCAGGCAAAGTCCTGTTAAATTTGTCTCATATTGTGCCCTTTCCATTTCTTCTACCATGACCTTACCCCTAGACAGGGTCTTTTCCATTTGCTTCTCTAGATCCTCCCTCCACTCTGCTCTCTGCTCCTGGCATCCAGCTGGGTGTAGCAATGACAAAAGATCAGAGGGTGGGAAGAGAGGAAGGTGAAGCTCTGTATGCCTCCAACCCTCTGCACATTGCTATTGGTCGGCTGGTTCTTCTAAAAGGCCATAGCTCCACTCAGGCAGCTCTCTTCTTGCAGCCACCCTCACCCAGCTCCTCGAACTTCTCCCCTGCTTCCTCTAGGCCTGGGAGTGGTTACAGCTCTCGCCATTGTAGCACTCTTATTTTCGAGTTTTCTTAAACTCTGCCCACATTTTTGTAATATTCCCACTGTTGCTCTTTTTAAATTACCCAGGTTGACTACTACATTTTTCCTGCCAGGACCATGATCTAGCCCAGAAGCATCCTAACAGTTTCCTGCCCCGGCTCTCTCTACAGGCCAGTTCTGAAGATTTATCTTCCAGAGACCTGGCCAAATCACTTTACTCAAAAACTC